CGGAGAATGTCAGCTCGTTATCAACGACCTCGAGCCGCTGCGCTGTGGTTTTTGCGAAACATTCTACCACATCAGCCAGCAGTGTTGCGGTATTAATATCCGCGATCGAAGGAACCATTATCAGCTGGAAAGATACTCTTCGTTTGCAATTCCTGTCGTGGGGTTCTACAGGGCCGCTCTATCCGCTGTTTCATCGACGATCCGCAGCAACAACAAATGCAACCCCCCTCGCTTGCTTCGTTGCCAGATCAGGTTCGGCAACTGCATGATGCCGTGGCTGAGCTAAGTAAAAAAGTCGACAATTTCTCTGCTAAGCCACAACGCAACCCGTCACTGAGTGCTACACCAGTTTGGCCCAAACCGAATGCAAAACGCCGTCGTGAAGACCGATCTGATATTGACGTGCCAACCGTAAATGGAACGAAAACAATTGACTTGAGTGGTCTTTCCGTTCCCTCTATTGCTCCTAGTGCACCTCCGGAGAAATTCTGGCTATATCTTTCTCGCCTGAACCCGCTCATCACCGATAACGACGAGCAGAGTATTGTGTCACGCTGCTTGAGCTTAACTGAACCTGTCGATGTGGTGCGTTTGGTTCCCAGAGGAAAAGTCGTATCCAGTATGACATTTGTGTCATTCAAGATCGGTTTGGATCCTTGTTTGAAAGATGCTGCGCTCGATCCGGATTCCTGGCCTGCCGGATTACAGTTTCGCGAGTTTATTGATTCGGCAAAAAACTAGCGTGCTACGTTTCTCCAACTGTTGACACCATCGCCACAACTTCATCGGATCCGGGACACCCTAGAACAGGCACTAAGGAAGCTCCCGAGCCCCCCGACCCAGTCGCGCTTGCTGCTGACATCCGCTATCGTCATCGTCCCGGTCCTGTGGTCGGTGGTGGTATCGGGGGCTTCCGGCCTGCAACTCCAGGCGAGTATAATTGCGATTTCGAACTTTCGGTACCTGATTTCCCTTCAACTTCCAGTTCGCGTAGTGGCATCTTGAGTGGTCTCCGGATTTACTACCAAAATGTGCGTGGGCTGCGGACTAAAATCGACCCGTTTTTCCTGGCTGTCTCGGAGGCTGAGTACGATTTGATTGTTCTGACAGAAACGTGGCTGGATGACCGGATTTACTCACCACAGCTGTTTGGATCGCATTATTCCGTCTTCAGAACCGACCGCTCTCCCCTAAACAGTAAAAAATTGCGTGGTGGTGGGGTTCTGATCGCCGTCACAACGAAACTGACCAGCTATGTAAGTACCTCGCCCATTTCAAGTCTGCTAGAGCAAATCTGGATTGTTGTGGATCTGCCAAGAACCAAGCTCAGTGTAGGCGCAGTATACCTACCCCCCGAACGAAAAAACGACTGCACGATCATCCATGAGCACGTTAATTCGTTGGGCTCGATTTCGTCTCAATTGTGCCGCAATTCTCCCGCTCTCCTATTTGGCGACTACAACCAAGCTGGTTTACAGTGGCGTTTCTCTGACAGTGGCACACCATTCATTGATCCTCTGCTATCGCATATGCCGGTTGCTTGCTGTGAACTTCTGGACGGATTTAACATTCATGGGTTCACTCAGGCGAACATTTTTCCCAACCGTAATGGACGTTTGTTAGATCTTGTTCTGATAAATGACTCAGCATTACCAGACACTTCTGTTTCTCTACCGGTCGAGCCACTGATCGATCTAGATGCCGACCATCCCGCTCTCGTCGTGTCACTAAGTTTATCCACTCCAATTGAATAGATACCGTTTTCCGAGTGCTGCTTTCTGGACTTTCGCCGGGCCGATTACACTGCATTGAACAATGCGCTTGCGGAAATAGATTGGCACTGTATCGAAACGGCCGCTAGTGTCAATGATGCTGTGGATTGGTTCAGCTCTGCGCTGGAAGAAGTTATTTTCCGCACTGTCCCAGCAAGACGTCCCCCGCAGAAGCCTCCATGGTCGAACCCACGCCTACGTAAACTAAAACGTCAGCGCTCCGCCGCACTCCGAAGGTACTTCAGCTCTCGCTCACCGTTCTACAAGCAACAGTTTAATTTCGCAAGTCGTCGCTATCGAAACTACAACCACTTACTCTATAATCGGCACGTGAGACGCACGGAAGCGAACCTTCGGTCGAACCCGAAAGTTTTTTGGTCGTTTGTAAATTCAAAACGGAAAGAATCCGGGCTCCGTGTTCCATGTTCCTCGGAGATGATACGGCCTGCAGCGAAAGTGAAAAATGCAGCTTGTTTGCTCGTCAATTCAAACCAGTCTTCTACGATTTTTCCGCTTCACCGACACAGGTGTTGGTCGCAACCTCCGGGATGCCACGTGATGTTTTTAGTTTTGGCATACCTCACATCACTGAAGACATGGTGATAGCCACAACACGCAAAATGAAGAACTCATTCGCCGCTGGTCCTGACGGAATTCTCTCGTCAGTTTTAAAACGATGTGCAGTCAACCTCTGCCTTCCACTTGCGCGACTTTTTAATTTCTCGGCACAGCAAAGTGAATTCCCCTCCCGCTGGAAGCTTCCTATCTAATAATCGTGGGATTTCCTCCATGTGCGCCTGCTCTAAACTTTTCGAGATTATTTTAAATGATGCTCTGTTTATGTGCTGTAAAAATTATATCGATACGGACCAACATGGTTTTAACCCCAAGCGATCGGTTTCCATGAACCTGGTGCAGTTTACCTCTGACTGTCTGCTGGATGGCAAGTTGATGCTGCATACATGGACTTAAAAGCCACTTTTGACAGGGTGGATCATGAAATCCTGCTTGCTAAGTTGGAGATACTAGGTGTCTCATCTACGGCTGTGAAATGGTTCAGATCGTACTTAGTGAATCGCTCTGTACGAGTCAAGATTGGCGCGACGGAATCAAATGTTTTCTCAAACAACTCGGGGGTCCCGCAAGGCAGCAACCTGGAACCTCTGCTGTTTTCGATCTTTTTAAACGACATCGCTCTGTTGTTGCCATCTGGATGCCGTCTTTTCTACGCAGATGACGCCAAAATCTACAAAATTATCAAAAGCCTCTCGGACTGTTGAAATCTCCGGCATATGCTATGTATTTTCGCTGACTGGTGCACGAGAAATTTGATAGGCCTGAGCATCGAAAAATGCAACGTCATCTCCTATCACCGTAAAAACGAACCAATTATGTATGACTATGTGCTCTTTGGACGTTGCATTGCCCGTGTAGAACAAAAAAAAAGGATCTCGGTGTTACTCTGGACTGCGGGCTCACCTTCAAAATCCATTATAACGACATCATTTCCCGAGCCAATCGCCTACTGGGTTTTATTTTCAAAATTGCCGATGAATTCCGGGACCCGTTATGCCTCAGATCACTTTACTGCTCACTTGTGCGGTCTATATTAGAATCAAGTGCAGTTGTATGGTGCCCTTTCCAAGCCACTTGGATCGCTAGAATCGAATCTGTTCAATGAAAGTTTGTGAGATATGCTCTTCGTTTCTTGAACTGGCGTGACTCATCGAACCTGCCACCGTACGAGGAGCGTTGCCGTCTTCTGGGCACCGAACCGCTAGTGGTGCGACGGACGGTCGCTCAAGCTATCTTTGCTGGAAAGCTTCTCACGGGTGACATCGACTGTTCAACGTTGCTGGCCCAGCTAAATATGTATGCTCCTGAGAGACCTCTTCGTCAACGCGAATTTCTGTTTTTGGAGCCACGAGGCAGAAATTATACGCAGAATGAGCCAATTCGTGCAATCAGCCGACAATTTAACTACTTTTATTGCGAATTTGACTTTAACGTATCAGCAAATGTGTTTCGTCACCGGTTACTTGACCGTTTTCGCTTCGTTGACCATAACTATTTAGACTAAGTTTTATTCATTAAGACATTAATTGTCAGTTGAATTATTAAATAAACAAATAAACAAAATAAACAAATCCCCAGATTAAATGCCCCATAGAAAAAAAAATGCCCCTCCTTAACAAGATTCCTGTGCACGCTAGTGTTCAGCATTGTTTGTAGAGAATAGTGCAATGCAAATATTTAAGGGGGTATTCCCGATCTTTTTTTTCAAAAAATCAAATTTTTTTTTTTCACGTTTTTTTTGTACTTTAGACTATATACTTTCATCCCCCCAAGCCGTTTTCCGATCAGCGAATTCGGTGTCCAGGCATAGCTGACTAATGGTAAGAACCACCAAATGGTTTTAACTAAAGTCAAAACTTTAAACGCGTTTTTCTCGAAACCACATTTTTTTATCGGGCGAAGATTTTTCTCAGAAACTATAAGAGATATTGACTTGAATCTTTGCGCATTTTGTTCCTTATTAAATTCTTTGGAGCTTCTCCCACTTTCAGCCAAAAATATTAACATTTAACATTGTTTGAAGCACCTTAAAGTTGCAAAAAAGCGGGCTAAAAATCGCCTGTTTTTTCATATGGCCGCAATTTTGTTAATTTGCAAGATTTTTTGCTGCCAACGGGAGAAGCTCCAGAGAATCTTATGCAGATTATTAATTTCATCACGAAATCTGTTTCAGATGAAGCCGTTCCAGAGAAAAGTCTTCGCCCGTCCAGGCGTTTGCGGCGAACAGGGGTCTGTTTGTCGCCATTTTGTGACGTCAATAATGTCTTTTTTTATGTCGAAAAAAATTTATTTGTAAACTTTAATGTTCAATAAACAAGAATCCCAAAGAGTTAGGCGCATTACTATTCATTTTCCTTGAAAAAAAGTTAATTGAAAAACAGGCCGAAAAAAGGCAAAAGATTGGGAATACCCCCTTAATGTTCGAATGAAACAGTGTTTAAAGCTACCCGATATGAACGATACACATTCTGCATATGCCAATACGGAAAAATAATTGAATACTAATTGTGTACATTTTTTCCATCTATTTTTTTTTCTACCAGGTCATCAAAAAGTGCAATAAATTAACTCGCTTGTATTTTAATCATAAAAAAACACAACCATTTCTGGAAAGCTTCAACTGTGCACCGACGTGTCTACGCGCACAATAAAAATGTCATTTCTATTAAAACATTGGTTTAATATCGGAAATATTTACCAAACAGTTCAACCGGCGTGTCGCAGTATGAAATGGTTTGGCTTCATGCCCTTCACGATGGTGGCAACCGGAAACGACAAAAACAGCGGCGGAACAACGCCACCCACCCCCGTCACTCTCACGGTGAAACGAACCGATGCCCTGCTGTTGCTCGGTTGGCAAATCTACATCCTCTCGATGTGCAACTCCGATTGGATTTCCGCCCTGTCCAATGCACCCATGTCGAAAATCATGATTTACTTCACCATTTTGATGTACGTCATCGAGGCGATCTTTTGCAGCACCATCCAGCTGCGAACGGCACTCTGCCGGAGCAAGATAGACGAGGTTCTTCGACTGGTCAAGTTTACGGATGATATGGTAACGGCAACAGTGCCATTGGCGATGGTGCGTTCGATTGTTTCAGCAGTTTTCATTTTTTTTGGGTTTTGGTTCTTTTCAGCTTGCAAAACTCGGAATCGCAGTCAATCATCGGCGGCACCATCTGGGACTGGTTTTGCTGATCTCAGCCACGATAGTCGGTGCTATTTTAGTGACGGTGACGGAACTCACGCTTTCATTTTCCTTCCATGATCGGATTTCCCCCATTTGGAAACAATTGGTTTCTACCGGAGCAATGTTTTACTACCACGCACTTCGAACTGCCCAAATTTGTCCGCTGGCGGTTTTCCTTGGTGCTATGGTGGCGTTCAGGTCCCGGTTTAGAATGCTGAACGAATCGTTTCGGTGGGAATTCTCAGTGCTGGCTCGGACAAATTGTACATTTACTCTCTTGCAGGTCGTATTTCGACAAAAATTTTGGCCATTTCGACGACGAGGAAGTACAAGAGCATCTGAAGCTGATTGCCATTGGACATGATGTGCTGACTGATGCGGTGGATCTGTTCAACGATATATTCAGTATTCAAGTAATGTCAACATTCAATCTATGTTCCATTCATTTCAGCTAGAATCATTCCTTTCTAGATGGTCTTCGCCTGCTTTACCTACGTGGAGTTTTCCATCTTCAGCATGTTCTCCGTTGGAGCCCTCTTTTCAGGCCATTCCACCGATGTCCTGTTTCTATCCTTGATCTATTCAATTGCTTTCTTGTTCTACTCCCTGTACATCATCCCAATCATAAAAATAAGTGCTGACGTCCAAAACGAGGTAATTAGCTTACCACATGTAATAACAATAATCCAACACGGATCGATAAAATAAGCAATTTTTCGTACTCTCACCCAAAACCAACGTGACCCAAGGGCAAACGGATGGCCGTCCTGGTTCATAAGGCCATAAATCAATCACCACTTTCGGCCTGCTCCATCAAACGGGTAAGTGTTGGCTACGTTCGATATGTGATGGGATATACTTTTGCCCCCCCCTTCTGCTGGCCAGAAGTCTATTTCGTCGAACGAAATCAATACACTACTGCCACTAACTGACTGCAATAAAGTCTAGCATGACACACGTTCCTCAGCAACCCAGCACCAGGCCAGTGTGATGATGGTGACCAAGTTCGGACAGTAATCCGCTTATTTATGTATCGTACCATCATAATCGCCCATAATCCTTGAGTAAATATTACTCCACAATTTGCCGGGTGGATGTTTTTCTTTCAAAGTGCCTTAGGACGAGAGCTTCCTGTATTACATTGAAGACGATGTCGGCACGATGTAGCTCGATATTCCAATCATCTCCCAGTTGCAAAGTATATCCGTACTTGGAAAATGCAAAATTCGATCATCCTCTTCATTGGATCGTCTTGGCAGGTTTCATTGGATTGAATGGGCTACTTTGGACACTTTCATGTTTGCTGGAATAGATAAATAAGATTAACGAATCGATTGAGTGTTTATATACAACTTGATGAGGGGACTGCTGGATCGTATAGCACATTTAATTGATTTCATTGGTAAGCTCTCGAGATTAACCGAGAAAGTTCAACAAACCGAAACTGCTGAAATGTAAGAATGTTGGTCTCGCTATTAAACACGGGTGACAAGTGTCTCTCCTGTATAATATTATTGAATATTGACATTTGCTCCATGTCAGCCTTTGGCCACTATCCCAAGGACACCCGAAAAATGTGCCTCCCTTAGCTCAGTCAGTAAATGCGCAGCTACAAAGCAAGGCTATGCTCGAGATGACTGGGTTCGGTGTAGGAAGTTTTCGGGTTGGAAAATTTCTTGACTTCCCTTGGCATAGAATATGATTGTACTTGACACACAATTATAGCAATGCAAAAATGTTACAGGCATCGAAAGCTCTCAATTAATAACTGCGGAAGTGCATCTATAATATTTACTAAGTTGAGTGCACGTAATAAGCTAATTTGTGATAGGTAATAAGCTTGGAATGAGAAGAAGAATAAGAAGAAGGAGAAGATGAAAATAATAAGAAAAACAAGGATAAGAAAATTGATATTACATTTCAAATGATTTAGCCTAGGGCAAGCTGATCATAATAAAAAATGATCTGACTCATAGCAATCATTGAACTTCGTTCAAAAAGTTTGCATAGCTCTTGAACTTGAAGTGCTTCCATAGAACTTGAACTTGATGTTCTTCCATAGAACTGGAACGGCATTCATGAACCGATATTAGGAAAAGCTGACAGCCATTTCTTCATGGGATTATTTGAAGTTTTACGAACTGTGGCAAGTTGAAACTTCGCATTCAAACTTTGACTAAAGACTGTACTCGAAAAAAGTGAGACACATTGATTAGTTTGTAACTTTTTTGCGTGTCGGTAAAAATTTATGAAATTTTGGCAGAAATTCATCATAATCTGTCAAGTGGTTATTGAGATGGCATGGTAGCAAGATCAGATCCGCCAACAAATCTTATGCGCCACGTCGTGGAAAATCCGACTGCGTCCCACAGATGCATCATTTGACTATTTCCCGGGTGGTGAAGGAGACCCAGACGACCCAGCGGCGGGCAGACTGTGGCAGTAAACCGAAGACAGCTGATCCGGTGAAGGCCAGGAAGGTGTTGAGTTTGCCCACTTCTACAAGGTCCGGAATGCACTGAACCGGAACGAAAAGCACAATACATGCCGAAGTGCCTGAAACATACACCAAGCGAAAGGTATTTTCGGAAATTGGGAGGCTATTTGATCCATTGGGTTTTGTCTCTCCCGTCGTTGTGGTAGCAAAGATCTTGATGCAGAAATTGTGGACCGCTGGTTTTTCTTGGGACGAAAATCTTGAAGGAGAACTTCTGCTTTCTTGGTTGAAGTTTCGCGATGCTCTGCCGCAAATGTGTGAGATGAAAATTCCTCGACGTGTCATTCTTTCAAACACCGTTGCTATGGAAATCCACGGGTTTTCTGATGCCTCGATTTCTGCGTACGGTGCAATTGTGTATGTGAGGAATGTTTTTCCTGATGGCAGAGCCGAGTTGCGACTCTTGTGTAGCAAATCAAATAGCGAATTCGTTTATTATTCAGTTCCAACCTGGATCGGGTATCAGGATTGGGTCTGCTTGTTTTCTGACAAACGTCAGTTTGCTCGTTTGTTTTTAAAACCTAGCTCAGGTTGAGGTTCGCACTGACAAAAAGTTCGGTTTCGCACTGGGTTGGAACTGGTTCCAACCCCGATAATAAACGAATTCGCTAAAAGGTCGCCCCAATAGCTGAATTGAGCATTCCTCGGAAGGAGTTGTTAGCGGCCCGACTGTTGTCCCGATTGGTTGTGAAGGTGATTGATTCGATGAAGATGAAATTTGACGATGTTACTCTCTGGTCTGACAGCCAGATAGTACTGGCTTGGCTACGCAAGCCATTAAGCTCACTCCAAGTATTTGTACGGAACCGAGTTGCTGAGATCATCACTGAGACCAAAGGCTACACCTGGAAATATGTCCCTACCAAGGAGAACCCAGCGGATATTGTGTCAAGAGGATCGCTGCCCAAAGTCTTGATATCCAATGAATTGTGGTGGAAGGGTCCCCTTTTCCTACGATCCGCAAACTACGAAACTGAACAACCAAATCAGCTATCGGATGAAAAATTGCCGGAATTGAAATTGACAGCCTTCGTTTCTGCAGCCGCATACAATGCTGATAATCTTCCCGTTTTTGCCAAGTTCAGCTCCTTTCGGAAGCTGCAGAGAGTGATCGCATATGTACGGCGTTTCATCTCAAACTGTAAAATCAAGGACTCGAGTCTTCGTAACTTGAAGTGTCACCTCACAGTTCCTGAATTACGAGGATCGATGGATGTAATCATCAAGGTAGTTCAACATGAAATTTTAGGAGACGAAATAAGCCGTATCGAGAACAAGGAGCCATGTAAAAGAATTGCTTCTCTGAATCCTGTGTACCAGGATGGACTGCTGAGAGTAGGTGGAAGATTGACGAATTCGCCTATATTGACCATGACTAAACATTCGTATATAAATATTGCCGAATCATCCCATTGTCGATCTTCTGATAAGAGCGTACCATCTCGAGAATATGCACGTTGGACCGTCAAGTTTGCTCGTGATAATTCGAGGCAGATTTTGGTTAACAGGAGGTAGATCTGCAGTAAGGAAAATTACGAGGAATTGCGTCACTTGTTTCCATATCAGACCAACGAAGGCAAGTCAGCTAATGGGAAATTTGCCTTCTTGCCGTGTGACTCCTGCTAACCCGTTTGAAGTGACTGGTGTGGATTATGCGGGCCCCGTGTTTGTAAAACAAGGACGACGAAAGCCAATTGTGGAGAAAGCGTATATAGCCGTATTCGTGTGCATGGTAACACGAGCTGTGCACTTGGAATTAGTGTCGGATATGACCACAGATGCATTCATTGGCGCATTACAACGATTTACGAGCAGAAGGGGACTGCCTCGAGAAATGCACTCTGATAACGGCTCCAACTTCCGAGGAGCAAAGGCGGAACTCAACGAGCTGTACAAACTGTTTCGGTCTCAATCAGCCGTTGGAAAAATCGAGGGTTTTTGTCAACCGAAGGAAATCGCTTGGTTTTTTATTCCACCTGAGGCACCAAACTTTGATGGTATCTGGGAGGCCGCCGTTAAAAGTGCCAAATACCATTTGAAACGCACCTTGAAGGACACTCATTTGACATTTGAGGAATACGTGACAGTTCTGACACAGGTCGAGGCTATATTAAATTCCCGGCCGCTCTATGCTACCTCACCTGATCCTGATGATCCCGAGGTACTCACTCCTGGTCATTTTTTGATCGGGCGTCCGCTTACTGCCATCACGGAGCCGAGTTACCAAGACATTTCTGTCAATCGTCTTGGCCGTTGGCAATTTTTGCAAAGACTACGGGAAAACTTTTGGAGAAAGTGGAAAAATGATTACCTGCAAACCTTGCAACAACGAACCAAGGACCAAATCAAGAAACACAATTTGCAGCCAGGAATGATTGTGCTCCTAGAAGAACAGAATTTGCCACCCATGAACTGGAAATTGGGAAGGATTGTTCGAACCTATCCAGGATCCGATGAATTAGTTCGTACGGTCGACGTTAAGGTTGGTAGCACTGTTTGCAAGCGTCCAGCAACAAGGATTGCAGTGCTTCCTATCAAGGACAATAAACAATCGTTGGGTCATCGTTCCGAGAATACTTCTCAGCCCGGGGGAGAATGTTCACGCCCAAACGCGAACGATAGTCAGTGACCGTCGTAAGCCCCACCCATTTGTTAAATTTCTCTCAACCAACGATCGAGCAAGGCGAAACCAGAAGATGAAGAAGAAGCAGTACGATAGTATATAAGCAGCGAAGCTAGTGGCATTAGTATTAGTATGGTTTTAGTTGTCAAATGTATACAACAAGAGAAAAATAAATAAGTGAAACTATCCTAGTTTTTTTACAACATCCTCTGATCCGGCATTGTGTTCAACTGAGGAGGAGCAGTACACCGTTTTTAAATACAGTCCACCGCTGGTTGAGTGCTTGCTGTCGACGGGCTTGCGGAATCCCAACCGTCCATATCAGGGCAGGAAGAGTTTTTTGTTATCCCAAGCGCCTGAGCAGAACACTCATTTTACGAAGACTTCCTGTTTGAGCGGCACCCTTTCCCTTTCCTGTCTTGTCAGGACACGATTAGTTTTGCCGCAAGAGAACTAGGAAGTCCCACCATTCCCTTCATTGGAGTCTGGTACGGCTCCGACAAACTCGTTGTCCTTTTCTGAATCGCTGCTAGTTGCTACTAGTCTCCCATGTTAGTTCTGATGTGTTCTACGACATTCAGACGTCCATTATCTCTGAATGATGGTCTTGAGTTCCTTTTTGCGTCTTATAAAACCGTAACACTAGTGCGAAAAATAGACAGTGTCTCCTGGTATTTTCTTAATGATCGTCACTCCATTCT